ATTCAGGTTACCACAAATTGTTTTTTCATTTAGTTGAACTTGAAATGTTTGTCAGTAAGTAAACAATTAGTACTGTACAGTCAGAAAGATCAAGTTATTCTTAATACTGCAGACTTGCAATGATGGCTGTTGTCCTAACAGTCATCTTAAGTAAGCTTTACTTAGTTTTTTTGAGGCAACGAGTTTCCTTAATTTTTTTGAGTTCTGGGAACTAACAAGGCCGTACAGTGTACTCAAAATGAGTCAGTTGCCCTAACCTGGTGATCTTACGTAAACTTGATCCAATTTTATTGAGTTCTGGGAACAAATGAGCTTGTACAGAGTACTCAAAATAAATAAGTTATCCTAATTTAGTCATTTTTAGCTAAGCTTTACTCAATTTTTTTGAGGCAACGAGTTTCCTCAATTTTTTTGAGTTCTGGGAACTAATTCGATTTTACAGTGTATTCTGTCATTCTCACATTTCTTCTGATCTCCAACCGGATATGGCACATGGCTGCACTTTCCTAAGCCTGGTTCTGTTGAAGGCCTTCTTGTTAAAAGGATGTTCTTCCTGTTGTTAAATGAACTGAAAGGTAGACAATCTCGAAAAGTGTTTCAGCTTTACCTATGTATGGCCCTGTGATGGAGTATGCAGCTGTTGGCAAACATGTCAAGCTCTGTATAAACCACCTGGGACATAATGTCTTCAAATGTTCTCTTATAAAACTCGTTTGAAGCGTGATTGCTTCATTGTCCAACTCCACAGATACTTCCTGAGGATTTAGAACAAGCTGCAAAGCACTGATTACACACACACACAAAAAGGCCAGAGAAATGGTTCATGATCTGAAGCATACCACATTATTTATCAGTTTGTCTGTCTGATTGCGTTACTGCATGTACTGTATATCAAGAGTGGTTCAGCGTCAGTTAAATTATGTGCACAGTGCATACTTGTACCTAACAGTCTGATACAGCTTTGGCTGACTTGGGTATCCCTGAATCGTCCCTTAGCACTATAGGCTCACACTGCTGTGGGTGCTCCTGTGGTACTCTGATGTGGTTTCAATACCACTGCCATGTGGTTTCTGTATCAGTACAGAATGTTCTTGCTTTCTTCTTTTCTTTTTCCCCTCACTCCCCAAACAGTCATAGCAGATGAATGCCCATCCCCGAGCCTGGTTCTGCCTGATGTTTATTCCTGTAAAAAGGGAGTTTTTCCTTCTTACCGTGACAAAGTGCTTGCTCATAAGGGGCCAACTGATTGCTGGAATTTTCTCAAGTATACTCTTTACCTTAAAGTACGTAGCAGCTTGAAGCAACTGCTGGTGTGATTCAGCGTTAGCTACACAAAAATGAATTGAACGTCCCTTCTGTGCAGTTACACTCTGCTCATTTGCGGATTTCTGCATTCTGAGCCAAGTCAAAGAAAGGAAAGTGAAAGTCAAAATACTTTTACTGAATATTGCAGTTATCTTATTTACAGGAATCAAAGCTTTAACAAATACGTACCAAAAAAGCAGGCTCCTTGCAGAAGTACAGCTACTGAGCATGCCTGAATATTTCCTCTGCTGCTCAGTGTTGCTGTGTGTGAACAATCAGAGCCTAGATTTTGCTTCAGAATATCCACTCCACGCCAACATTTGGTTCGCCACATAAAAATAGATGCACCTCTGTGCCTTAAGAATTGACCTCAGAATCA